AACCTCAATGGAGCATAATGTTGGTAGTCAATAATATAAACACAACATTCATATTAATTATTAATAGTTCATAACTTCATAATTCATAATGTATATTTGATTTCACATCATTTGCATGCTTGCATGTTGTTTTGATACATGTTCTAATGTTGTGTTTGATGTTAAAATGATTGGAGGCATATAAGTGAAGCAAAGGAATACAATTGCATTGAAAATGAAGTCCAAAAATGAATGAAAACACAAGTCGCGAGCGCGTACTTGAAAGTTGCGAGCTTGTAAAGCACCAAATGAGAGACAGTGAGTTATCGGGCACAAGTCGCGAGCGCGTACTTGAAAGTCGCGAGCGCGAGAAGTGCCAAATGGCGTAGCCGATGTGGGATTCGCCTAAGGTGTTGTGCCCCAAACCTGGGATGCGATGAAGGTCGCGAGCGCTTACAGGCCAAGGGCCAAGTACGCGAGCGCGCACTTCAAAGTCGCGAGCGCGAGATGTGCCAAATGAAAGTCAGAGAGCTTGCGAGCACAAGTCGCGAGCGCGCACTTGAAAGTCGTGAGCGCGAGATGTGCTAAATGAGATTCAGAGAGTTTCAGGTGAAAGTCGAGAGCGCGTAATTCAAATTCGCGAGCGCGAGAAGGTAACGCAAACTCGTCATGCAATTCGCGCGCGCGCTTCCAGCCTGCACTGTCTGTATTCTTTTGGTCATATCTCTCAATATACAACTCCAATTTGGATGATTCAAAAATCCATGTAAAGCTAACAATAACACATGGAAGAACCAAAATAACTCTTCTTATGACACTTCCTAATTCCATCAGTTAATGGGTCAAAAGTCAAGATGGAATTACTTGGTAAAAATTTCCAGGCAAGCCCTATTTCAAACATTTAATTCAATTATTTACTTCATTTATTCCACTTCCTCCCCTGTTTTCTTACATTACCAGTCTTGGCCACTCAACATGAAGCAATATTGTCTCATTAGGCAACACACCACACAAATTTCTCATGCAAAGAAAATGGTAAATGAAAAGAATATCAAACCTTTACTCCAAAAAGCTTGAGCTCTTCCTTAAACTTACCTTTTTTCTACAATCTTGAACTCCCTTCACCTAATAAATAAGAATTCTTAGAATTTCTAAAATAATAGCCAAACCAATTGATCAATTATGAACTTCAAGAAGGTTTACTTACTTGGATAGAAGAAAAATGAAGTTAAGGCTTAAACTACCATTAAAATTGAAAGGAAGGTAGAAGAGAAAGGAAGAAAATAAAAGAAGATGGAGATAAAGATGAAAAATGGAAATGAAGTGGATAATCCACGGGTAGCCATCAAAAATTCAAAAGGGATGTGTGAACGTTCTAAATCGTACCCCCAATTGTCAACAGGCCTATAACTTAATACCCAAGCTTGATCTTTTAATTGCAAATAAATCTTCCACCATATGCTTTGATCTTTTTCTCTCAATCAAGTAAGTCCACTTATAATACCATTCTACCCCAACCGGGTTTGCCCCAACCGGGTTTGGTTTGGCCCGACTCAACTCGACTCTATGAAATGACTCGACTCAGTAGGATGTCACAGTTCTCTCCTCCTAAAAAAAAACTTCGTCCCAAAGTTTACCTGTGGTGAACAATTGCGGATACTATTGTCGAGTCATTTTCTCAAAGTCTCAAAGTCTTTACCTGACACTGGTTGAGTCAACACTGGTGCTTCAGTCAACTTTATCTTCAAAGTGTCAAAACTCTACTGACATCTATTATCCCATTGGAATACAACTGCTTTCTTCAATAATCTTGTCAAAACGCATGGTATCTTCAGATTCCCAAGTTGCTTCTTCTGTCTTATGATTGATCTGTATCTCCTTAACATGGATACGTGAAAGACATTATGAATTCGATCTAAGGTTGAAGGTAACTCTAGGCGATAGGCTAATGGTCCTACATGTTCAACAATCTCGTATGGACCAATGAACCTAGGGCTAAGCTTACCCTTTCGTCCAAACCTTAGGATCCTTTTCGCATGCCGTGGAAACTTTCAGAAAAATACCTTATCACTGACCGAGTACTCCATATCCTTTCTCTTTAAATCAGCATAAGACTTCTGTCGATCACTTGCTTTCCTTTCAGCTTTTTTCTTTCTGATGATTTCCACTTTCTCTTCTGTTTCTCTAACCAATTCTGGACCCAAAATCTTCTTCTCACTAAGTTCTGTCCAACACACAGGTGTCCTACATTATCTGCCATACAACGCTTCATATGGTGCCATCTTAATGCTCGATTGATAGCTGTTATTGTAGGCAAATTTCATGAGATGTACATATCTGTCCCAGCTGCCTTCAAATTCTATAACACATGATCTCATCATGTCTTCCAGTATTTGAATGACTCTCTCTGACTGGCCATCTGTCTGAGGATTAAATGCAGTGCTGAAATGCAGTTTCGTTCCTAATGCGTCCTGTAGTTTACCCTAGAACTTCGATGTAAACCTTGGATCACGATCAGATATAATGGAGATGATGTGATGGAACTCCATGTAGTCGAACTATTTCTCTAACATAAATTTCTGCTAACTTGTCTAGAGAATAGTCCATCCGAACTGGTAGGAAGTGTGCGGACTTAGTTAATCTGTCCACGATCACCCATACTGCATCATGCTTCCGCTGCGTCTGAGGTGATCCAGTAACAAAATCCATCGTGATCTGATCCCACTTCCATGTTGGCACTGTTACTGGATGAAGTAACCCAGCTGGCAATTGATGTTCTGCTTTTACTTGTTGACATGTTAAACATCTTGTTACAACATTTCCGATGTCTTTCTTCATACCCGGCCACCAATAACCTTTCTTCAAATCGTGATACATCTTGGTACTACCTGGTTGCATTGTGTATGGACTGTTATGAGCTTCATGTAGAATCTTTTGTCTAAGCTCCCCTATCTGCGGTACAACAACTCTGTCTTCATAAAACAATACTCCAGAATAAGACTCCAGCTGTTATCCAATCTGAATTTCCCATCCATGATCTTCCTGTACTTGTTTTACCCATAGTGCTGTTTGTGCATCTTTTCTTCTGTGCTGTGCACTTCCTGAACCCAAGATGGCGTGTTACCAAGATGGCTGTACTTGCATCTGTGCTAGAATAGCTCCCTGCTGTTGCAACTTCATGCTGATTCTCATTGATCTCAAAGCATACAATGATTTCCGACTAAGGGCATCAGCTACCACATTAGCTTTGCTCGGATGGTAATTTAATGACATAATCATAATTAGCCAGAATCTGCATCCACTTCCGTTGTCTTGAATTCAAGTCTTTCTGTGTCAATAAATACTTTAAACTCTGATTATCTGTGCAAATGTAATACTTTTCACCGTACAGATAATGCCGCCATACTTTGAATACTAGAACAATGGCTGCCAGTTCTAAATCAAGGATTGGATAATTCAATTCATGTGGCTTCAACTGTCTAGATACATAGGCCACCACTTTCCTGTCTTGCATGAGTACACATCCTAACCCAGTATGAATGAGAGGTATCACTGTAAATCTCAAAGTCTTTACCTGACACTGGCTGAGTCAACACGGGTGCTTCAGTCAACTTTTTCTTCAAAGTGTCAAAACTCTGCTGACACTTATCATCCCATTGGAATACAACTGCTTTCTTCAATAATCTTTTTCTTCAATAATCTGGTTAAAGGTAATGCAATGATAGAGAATCCCTTTACAAACCTTCTGTAATATCCGGCTAAACCCAGAAAACTTCAAACTTCTGTGACATTTCTGGGTGGTCTCCAATCACAATAGCTTCAATCTTATGACGATCCACTCTGATACCCTCCGATGACACCCCACATGTCCTAAAAGGAAGGAAAAAAAACTTTTTCTTCCAGCCAAAAACTCACACTTAGGGTAGCTACTCATTTGGATGTGTATCTTTTGTCTATCCTTTTCATGGCATGTACAGGGCACACAGTTGGGCCCATTTCATTTTGACATGAGTATCATGTTTTATAAATATAAATTACATTATTTTTGTAAACAGTATCAGCATGCTATTATATTCAATATACATTATGATTTCAACATGTCAGGACATAAAGTCAACCAGTTTGTAACGTCTCGACTCGGTTTATTCAGGTTTACGGGTGGACCGGGAAGGGATGTTTCATCTTCTTCCTTTATCCGCAACTGATGGTATCCCGACCTAAGGTCGATCTTTGAAAACATACCTGCACCTTTTAGCTGATCAAACAAATCATCGATTATTCGAGGCAATGGATACTTATATTCTTGGATTGTCAGTTTGTTCAGTTGTCTGTAGTCAATGCACAATCTGGAATGATCCATCTTTCTTCTTTGAATGATCCATCTTTCTTCTTTACAAATAACACCAGTGCTCCCCAAGGTGATACACTGGGTCTGATAAACAATAACTCCTGTAGCTGAATCTTTAACTCTTTTAGCTCGGCTGGTGCCATTCTGTAAGGTGCAATTGATACTGGTGCTGCTCCAGGATAGACATCAATGGTAAACTCCACTTCCCTCCTTGGTGGTAACCCTGGTAACTGTTCTGGAAATACATCTGGATAATCACACAATTCGCGCGCGCTCTTCCAGCCTGCACTGTCTTTACTCTTTTGGTCATATCTCTCAATATACAACTCCGATTTGGATGATTCAAAAACCCATGTTTCAACATAAACTCAATATTTACTTCATTTATTCAATACCTCCCCTGTTTTCTCACCATTACCAGTCCTCCCACTCAACATAAAGCAATATATTGTCTCACTAGCAACACACAAACTTAATAGCCTGATTCTGGATAGCCAGATCCATAACCCAGAATAACATCAAATTCTCTAGAATCTAAATGGCAACTCCATCAGATCTCCTGGAAACTCTTTTCCATGAATAACAATTGGACATCCTTCAACCACTGTATGGGTTTTTACTACATCGCCTAGTGGATTAGTAACTACCATACCCTGACTCACATATGCAACTTCTAACCCTTTAACCCAAGGTTAGGTACGCTAATGTATGAATGAGATGATCCAGGATCAATTAAAGCAGAAACTGTATGATCACATAAAGAAAACTCACCAACTAGGACATCTGGAGCATCTGGGGCTTCCTCCTCTTCTCTGGCTCGCATAGCATAAACCCTGGCTGGACCCCTAGTATCGGGTCTGTCCACAGTCTCTGATTGCTATCTCTGCACTCCGAAAGGCTCACCTCTACCTCTACCTGCTATGAACTGGGTAGGAACTCTTGCCTTCCTCGGACAGTCTTTCTTTTGATGGTCTGATGCTCCGCATGTCCAACATTTACCGGCCACCAACCAACAATCTCCACCATGTCGTCTACCACAATGCTCACAAGGTGGATACGGATAACCGGCTGACTCTGCACCTCTACCGGTACTGGTGCCTCTTACCAATTCCTCTGCCTGAACCTCGACTACCAACACGGCAGAATTAGCCACAACTGATACCGCTGGCGCGTTAGGTAACCCTTAGCTGCCCCGCCCATTGGCTATAAAGAAGGTCTAGCACTAGCTGAAACTATAGCCACCTCTGAATCTCTTGCTTTCAGACTGATAGACTGGTGTGCACTTCTGACTGATATGCACTGGGTGCACTCTGAGTTTGGTCTCTCCTCTGCTGAGACAGCTGGCGTCTGGTACGCTGACTGACCTGAATTCGCTCTATCTCCTGAGCTGCCTCTACCAAAGCTGAGAACTCTCTGAATCTGGAAGCTACCACTCCCATCTGAATCTCATCATTCAAGCCTTCTTGAAACTTTTTACACCTTTCGGTCTCTGTAGTCACTATCCCCTTACCATACCTGCTGAGCCTGGTAAACTCTCGCTCATATTCGGCAACTGACAGTCTGTTCTGCCTCAGGTATAAGAATTCTTTCCTTCTTACATCTAAGTAAGCCTCTGTAATGAACTTCTTCTTGAATTCATCCAAGAAGAATTGCCATGTACGCTGATCTGCTGATACCCGCTGCTGAACAGTAGTCCCACCAGGTATATGCCTCATCTATGAGCAATGATGTGGCACAAACCAACTTGTCCTCTGGTGTAACATTTAATTGTTCCCAGAACTCTCGATGTCCCCATCTAACCAATACTTCAGCTCTTTCATGGACTATCATCCTTGTTAGCACAGAATTCTTTCGCCCCATAATTTCCAAAAAGCTTTCTCTTAGTGGGGGCCTTTGTTCTCTTTCTACTACTATTGGGTGCTTGAGTTATCACCCCTGCAAATCTGTCGAAAAGTATCTGCAAGATTTGCTTTAACAAACACCTCTTGAACCTGGCGCTCTTGAGAGCCTCACCCTCCACTGCTCTGGAGGCGTGCTGACTCACTCTCACCTTCTTGTGACATCCTCCTAAAAAGGAACAACAACCTGCTTAGTTCATCAGGTAGACATGGCATGTACACTATACTGACTTATGCCATAGCAAAGCCCGAGGAAAACTAAACCTAGGGCTCTGATACCAAAATTGCTAAACACCCTTCCCGGTCCACCCGTAAACCCGAATAACCGAGTCGAGATGTTACCAAAACTGGTTGACTGTATGGCCTGACATGCCGAAGTCATAATGTATATTGAATATATTAGCATGCTGATACTGTATACAAAATATTAATTATTATTACAAACATGATATTAATGCTCAAAATGAAATGGGCCCAACTGAGTGCCTATAGTACATGCCATAAAAAAAAAGGGTAGACAAAGATATATATCCAAATGAGTAGCTACCCTGAAGACTGAGTCTTCTACAGATGAACTACAGCAGTTGTCAGCCGACTCTCTACGGTCCACTCTCCAAACCTGCGAGTTAAACAGGTAACTCGCTGAGCAATAAAGCTCAGTGGATATCTCAACAGATAAAGAAACAATTAAACACTTACATGTATAGAAAGAACCATGTAAACATATATGGCACATATAAGCTCACACATTATGATACTTTCATGATACCTTGATTATCTTTTGTACTGTTTATAATTATCTTTTGTACTGTTTATAAGACTGTATACTTCATGAAATGTTATGTCAAGATATCTGTTTGGCTCCATAAGGTTATAGTGAAACCGAAGTGATAAGAAAAACTGTCTGAAACTGGATGACTACTGTATGCTTGGCTGCTATGGCCCATATAATCATATCCACTCAACGGCCTGTAGCCGGAGTAACAAACTGTATGAGGCGCAGGTGCAGATCTGCTATTCTATGCTCGCGACCATAGCCTTATCTACATGGTTTCTACCTAACCTCAATGGAGCATAATGTTGCGTATGTCAATCAATATAACACAACATCATAATTAATAGTTTACAATAACTCATAATGTTTATTTTGATTTCACATCATTTGCATGCCTTGAATGTTGTTTTTGATTACATGCTTCAAATGTTTTATTTGATGTTAAAATGATGGAGGCATATAAGCTGAAGCAAAGGAATTACAATTGCATTGAAAAAGAAGTCCAAAAATGGCCATGTGAAAACACAAAAGTCGCGAGCGCCCGCCTTTTCAAGGTCGCGAGCGCGTAATGCACTAGATGAGAGACAGTGAGTTATCGCGCACCAAGTCGCGAGCGTGTACTTGAAAGATCGCGAGCGCGAGAAGCTGCCAAATGAGAGACAGTGAGTTTCCCAGGCCAATTTCGCGAGCGCGCGATGAAGGGTCCGCGATCGGCTTAACAGGGCCAAGGGTCAAGTACGCGGATGCCGCCGTTACTCAAAGTCGCGAGCGCGAGATGTGCCAAATGAAAGTCAGGAGAGTTTTTGCGTGCACAAGTCGCGAAGGCGCGGCACTTTGAAAGTCGCTGAGGCGCCGAGGATGTGCTTAAATGAAAGTCAGAGAGTTTGCGTGCACAAGCTCGCAGCGCACACTTGAAAGTCGCGAGCGCGAGATTGTGCTAAATTGAGAGTCATAGAGTTTCAGGTTGATGAAAGTCGCTGAGCGCGTAGTTCAAAATTCGCGAGCGCGAGAAGCAACGCGAACTCGTCATGCAATTCGCGCGCGCGCTTCCAGGCCTGCACTGTCTGTAACTCTTTGGTTCATATCTCTCAATATACAACTCCAATTTGCATGATTCAAAAACCCATGCTTAAAGCTAACACATAGAGGAACAAATAACTATTCTATGACATCCTAATTCCATTCATTAACGGGCCATTAAATGGGTTCAAAATCAAGATGAAGTTGCTGGTAAAATTTCCAGCAAACTCTGTTTCCACTTCATATATTCATCCCCTGTTTTCAACATAAACTCAATACCTCCCCTGTTTTCTCACCACTACCATTCTCCAACACAAAGCAATATATTGTCTCAATAGCAACACACCACAAAAATTCTCATGCAAGGACAATAATAAAAATCAAGAGATATCAGACCTTTACTCCAAAAACGCGTGAGCTCTGTTCTAACTTCTCTTCTCTACACTCTTTGAACTTCCTTCACCTAGAATAAAAATTCTTATCACTTATCTACGATATAACTCAATTAGAGGTTGAATAGCATAAAGCTTCAAGAAATTCTACTTACTTGGAGAACTAGAGGTTGCCTTAATGCTTTTAACTCCATGAAAATTGAAAAGTAAGGTGGTAAGAGGAAAGGAAGAAAATGAAAAGAAGATGAAGATAAATATTTGAAAATGGGAAAGTGAATGAAATGGCTTATTACGGGTAGCCATCCAAAAAATCAAAGGATTTATGCGAAAATTTCCTAAATGGATACTCTCAATTGCTAAACAGGCTACAATTTAATACCCAAGCTCAATCTTTTAATGCAAATCAATCCTCACCCTATATGCTTTGATTCTTTTTCTCTCAATCAAGTAACTCCACTTTAATAATCAAGTAACTCCACTTAATAACCCATTCTACCCCAACCGGGTTTGGTTCAACTCGACTCCATGAAATGACTCGACTCAGTAGGATGTCACACGGATAGTAATATTTAAATGGGTTTAAATATTGATACTTAAATAATATTTGGAATGTCAATAAAAAAAATATGAGAGGAATTTAAGCATGTGACCGTTAATTGATACAATATTCAGAAATAAGACCAAAATAGAACAAACTTATCAAGATATGAACCAAATATCACAAATATAATTGATAAGTTCAACATTTGATGGCTATCACTTCCTATTTTTATCTCCACACAAACACCCGATTTACATTATTTAAATCATTGCTACATATTCATCAAATCCTAATAAATATTAAATCAATAAAAAATCTAGTGCTATTTTAAAAGCTACTTTTATTAATGGAGGGCTAAAAGTTTTATTCAGACAAAACTTTTCTTTATTTCATTTCACTTCCTCACTACCAAAAATAGTTCATGGCTTACAAAGAAAAGAACATTTTTATGAAAAAAAAAAAAAAAAAAAAAAAAAAACATTATGTTATCAACTTCTAATTAGTAGACGCAGCAGACTTAATTTGGATTGACGTCTTGTTATTTGAACAAATTTATTAGATAATAACTTTTTCAAATTTTAAAGGAAAAAAAAAAAAAAAAAAAAAAAAAAAGATAACTATATGTTATCAACTTCTAAATTAGTAGACGCAGCAGACTTAATTGGATTGAGTCTTGTTATTGAAAATTTATTAGATAATAACTTTCAAATTTAAAGAATTCATGAAATTAAAAATGCGCAATCCTTCTTCATTGGCTCTGTCCTTTTTCTTTGGATGCATTTGGCATGGTGTTCCAACTTTGTTTAGAGATATTTTTGCTGGTATTGATCAATCCTCACTGTATTCAATCGACAATGGAAGCTTTTACATGAGGGGTGTCCCTGTGCCAGTGAATATCGTTTATTCTAATATCTACCAATGGTGGTAATCTTTCTTGTAAATATGATTTTCTGCAACGACATGGCTCCTATTTATAAAATGGGTTCTAACAATTTGCAAATTTTATTTAGTTGATCTTATGCATGATATGAATAAGTAATATTTTATTAATCCAATGACATTCAATGTTACATTGAATGATAGTGGATGATGTTTGATTTGTGTGAAACGATCGAAAGAAAAAAGAAGATAAAGAAGGAGAAAGAAAATTACAGAATTTTAAGTAACATATATTTATAATTTGTAAATTCACCAAATAATTCATAAAAGTAAATGTATTTCCTCTATTCTCTTACCTTAGATAAAATAAAATAAAATAAAAATTAAAGGAAATTAATAAAATAGTTTAACTGAAATAATAGCACCAAGAATATGCCTAAATTACCCTTAGTTTGCATTAAAATAATTTTATTGGCGTTAGAAACTAACTGGTGTTTTTAATGATTCAAGAGCGCATTACTTACTGTTATTCTCGGCAAAGGAATTGGAAAGAAACTTTCACATTATGGAAATTTAATGCCAAAATTTAAACTTTACTTTGGCAAAATTTTTTCAATTTGAAAATTTCATTTTTCTTTGCACGTGACAGTAATGGTCCTTTTAGTAAGTATGCGCACAATTTGAAAAAAATTGGACTAATTTTTTGAGTAACGCGATGGTCTCCTAACTTCCACAAAATTATTCACATATAAAAATGGAAGGAACATGTTGTTCTTTACATGAAAATCTATTATTTTCTAAGTTAGTACTGCTTTACATATAAACCTTCTCCTGTCAATCATAAACTCATCAGAACTAATTAATCTAAATGAAATTCCTTTTAATCCAGACATTGTTGTTGTACAAATGGCCACAACTCATGCACTTCTAGAACTAAACTACACCACAAAAAGAATTCATTAACAACTCATGCACTTCAAGAATTAAACTACACCACAAGAAGAATTCATTAATGCTGATCCACAAATGATCCAAACTAAAAGTGTTATTCCAAACAACAAGAAAAGAGGAAATAAAAAGAAAAATATATCTAATGACATTAAAATATCTGTAAGCTCAATATTGCTAGCTGAGATAAAAGGAGTACTAAATGTGAGAACATATGAAAAAGTAGCGTCTATATTCAACAAATGGCGCACACTTTGGGGAT